TTTCCCATAATTATCATTTGAAATAATTTTCATCTTGCCTAAATACCATTTGTACTAAACACCGCTTAAACTAATATTCATTCAATATTGATACGTCCCAAATAGAGAAATAACTAACGAAATAATATTTTATTTTATTTATGGCCGCTCGGTGATTCAGTGAATTCCTGTTTCATTTACAGAGCAGAAGGCTATGAACTAAGGGTACAGGAAAGAAAGAGAATAGTGCTTAATTTTATAATTAGGTTTTGCAAAAATGGTGACGAAATCGGGAAGTGGCATGTTATTCCTCTTTATTTAAAGGTTTAAAAAACGTAAAGACCAAAATCTTAGCTGATCCTTTTCTCAAGTTATTGTCAAATTAAAATTTTTTTAACGAAATTTATAAAAGATAATAAGAGAATAATTATTGCACATTAGTTTAATTAAAAAATTTAATGTTTTAGTAACAATTAACTATCTTAAAAATAACAACGAAGATATTTTTCTTAATTATTTTAGTTTTAATTAACAAATTTAACACATTGGAATCATCGACAATTTTCTCAAAGGCGTTTTGAAGAGAACTCGATTACTGCTTTTTTGAATCGAATTAAATAGGTAGGATGGTCAATCAAATTAATTTTGTAACGCTCCCAAAACTTTAAAAATTCTCGGTGAATTGATTCACCAGCTTGTTCTGACCACAAACCTAAACCACGATTTCCTAAAAAACTCAAACTTTCTTGAATGTGTGATGTTTTTGCAAAACCTAAATCTACTTGAAGCCAAGTGTGCTTCGGGTACGGAAGCTACCGAAACTTTAAAAATCCATGTCACAGTATCACACATTCAAGAAAGTTTGAGTTTTTTAGGAAATCGTGGTTTAGGTTTGTGGTCAGAACAGGCTGGTGAATCAATTCACCGAGAATTTTTAAAGTTTTGGGAGCGTTACAAAATTAATTTGATTGACCATCCTACCTATTTAATTCGATTCAAAAAAGCAGTAATCGAGTTCTGCCGTCCCAACAAGAGTAGCAGTAACTACATTTTGGTTAAGTCACTTATTGGTGGCAGTGGCAGTGGCAAGTAGGTGACTCATCCTAAATGCAGATACGGTTATTCTTGTTGGGGCGGCAGAGTTCTCTTCAAAACACCTTTGAGAAAATTGTTGATGATTCCAATGTGTTAAATTTGTTAATTAAAACTAAAATAATTAAGAAAAATATCTTCGTTGTTATTTTTAAGATAGTTAATTGTTACTAAAACATTAAATTTTTTAATTAAACCGAGGGGCTGTTCACTGAAAATCCAATTGAACAATATTGGAGAATTCATTAAAGATTTTTAGGACTCGTACGTATTCGGCTTCGGATTCGAATGGAATCGCACGGACTCGTTGATATTCACAGTATTTTCACAAATTCCTTCTTTGCGCTGCTTCGTGTTGCAGACTAGATAATAATAATAATAATAATAATAATAATAATAATAATAATCGGCTGCCGCCGAATTCGCTCGTATTTCTCCGTAACCATTCGTGACTCGCAACAATTCTTACTGCATGACTTAGGATTTTACTGTAATCGACGAGATTTGTTGGATTCGCATAGTATTCGACAAATTCGAACGTCCTTTTCAGTAATCGCCGGTAATCTCCACTTAAAATACAATTTATTCAGAATCAAGAAATTTATATTTTCTTATGTTAATTGATGAATATTCGGAAGATACCTAGTATATTCTCTACATTACAAATCGGGTATTTGAGAGTGAACAGCCCCTCGAATTAAACTAATGTTCAATAATTATTCTCTTATTATCTTATATAAATTTCGTTAAAAAAATTTTAATTTGACAATAACTTGAGAAAAGGATCAGCTAAGATTTTGGTCTTTACGTTTTTTAAACCTTTAAATAAAGAGGAATAACATGCCACTTCCTGATTTCATCACCATTTTTGCAAAACCTAAATTTACTTGAAGCCAAGTGTGAAAAGGACCATTGCTGTGTCCTTTGTTGTCACAGGAAAAGAGCTGGTACCAGCGTGAGTTTATGACGTCAGGTAGGTTGACGGGCCCAGGTATAACCGCAGGTCCGGAGTTCTATTAGGCGTGATGAAACTCCCAATAATGAGTCTCTTCCCTACTGAAAATCCCTGTATAAGATCTTGTACAATTTCCTGTACAGGATCAGCAACTGAACTTGTACAAGTTCTGACCAGTTCCTGTACAGGAAAATGCATACGAATTTGGAACAAGTTCATGTGTGAGATCTTGTACAAGATCTGGTGCAAGATCTTGTACAAGAAAGATACTTGTACAAGAAAATGTACATGATCTTGTACAATTTTATGTATAAGTACTTGTACATGAACACGTTCATGTTCTTGCACATGAAATAGTTGTAAAATTTTTTTTTTTAATAAAATTTGAGATTTTGATATTTTTTAACCACTAATATTCGTAACTCATGCATGCTAAAAACTATTGCGCAGCTGTAAAGGTTAAAGTAAACTATTGCGCAGCCTTTGAAGTTTTTAATTTTTAGTAAAGAAAAACATGAATTAACATGTGCAAGAACATGGACGTGTTCATGTACAAGTACTTATACATGAAATTGTACATGAACATTTTCTTGTGCAAGCATCTTTCTTGTACAAGATCTTGCACCAGATCTTGTACAAGATCTCACACATGAACTTGTTCCAAATTCGTTTGCATTTTCCTGTACAGGAACTGGTCAGAACTTGTACAAGTTCAGTTGCTGATCCTGTACAGGAAGTTGTACAAGATCTTATACAGGGATTTTCAGTAGGGTTCCAAATAAAGGAAGAATGGATAATTGCCCAATATAATGAGAAGTAAGATTCTCGTTTAATGTAGAGGGCTTTGACACTTGATTTTAACTTTCGTATAAGAAAATTTTGCACTAGAACTAGAAGACGTCGACTGATATTAAAAATGAGCTTGATATATACGTATGAAGAGGATTTCAGAACTGGTCTCTCCGTGAAAATGTAATCCTTTTATACTGAATTTTCGTAAGAGAATAGATAAAATTTTATTGTCGTACTATATATTTTGCACCCTAATTTTGGAAGCAAAAGTTGAGTCCTTCTCTCTCAGTTGAACGTTAAAAGGAGGGGTGTGAACCATTCTAATACAGGATAGAAAGAGTACGACTACGGTTATTCGCTGCTGTAGAAGAGTGTTTGTGCTCTTCTAATGTGGTGATACCACAGGGGTTCGTCACATAGGAAAATTAGAAAGAGAGCATTATGTTTCGTGGGGGTGTGAGCTCTTCTAGTGTCATAAAAGATTTCTCACTTCTATTTGTATGTTTTAGAAATACAGTATATAGACGTAGAAGGATACAAAACGCAGGGGTCTTTTATATATAAAAGAAAGATGTTTAGTTGCGCGACAAAAGGGCGGAAATTTAACATTTAAGAGAAAAATATTTAGATGCGTAACAAAAACACGGGTGTTTGTCGCAAGAAAAACGCAACTCGGTATAGATTAAAAAAGAATTCTTATAATATGAATATTAAAGTTACGGTTACGTGACAATATAATCATTATAAAACCTAATTCCCCTTTGACCTAATCGTACTATAACCTACCCTACCGAAAGAGTGGTACTGGAATGGTACTGAATTGGACTTGGATCAACTAACCGTCTCTCACGATATACGTGTAAAACAGCAAAAAAAACATAATAGTTTGTAGAAAATTTCTGTTAAGTTTGGAAATTATATTGCAATCCCTCCTTGAACAATAGACCCCAAGGTCCTTTGTTGAAGGATTAAAATTTTAACCCGAGTTTTATTGCTTAAAAAATTTATAATTTTAATAACTCAACTTTAAAAAATATATATTGAGATTCGTTAATATTTCCAGATTATGAATATCTAAAATTTATTAAAAAATAATTACATTTAAAAAAGTTATAATTTATCTCGTATACCTTAAGTTTGACAAAAAAATGGACATCATTTTTGAATTTAGCTGCCAAAGGACATATCATATGCATAATAATGTATGAAAATAATATAAATCCAGAAAAAACAAATATAATATTGAAATAAATATAAAGTATTAGTTTAAACATATTGAAAAAGCTAGTCGCTTTTCACTTTTATGAGGGTATTAACGGTAACTCGATCCTTTTCGCAGGTAAATTTCCCAGTTCCATTTCAGTACCAAAATGCACCAAATTAGTACTGAGTTGGTACTGAGCCCTCAGTTCCAATTTTCCAGTACCAATCCAGTACCACCCTTCCGGCAGGGTAATTATTTGTTCTAATATTTATCTGATTTAATTCTCATTTGGTCTAATTTTAGTATATCCTAATTGTTATTTGTTCTAATATTAGTCTAACATAACTCTTAATTGGCCTAATCTTAATGTAATCTAATTTTCTTTTGGCCTAATCCTCATTTGATCTAATTCTCACTTGGCCTAATCTTCATTTGTCATACGCATATAAAAGTGGCCAAGTAATAATTAGGACAGATAAAAATGAGGCTAAAAAAGTATTAGGTTACAGAAAATTTAGGCCAATTGAGATGTAGGGCAGATAAATATTATGTAAAATAAGGATTATGTCAAAAGAAAATTAGGAGAAATGACGATTAGTACAAATGCGGATTAGATTAAATGAAGATTAGGTCATATACAGATTAGGCCAAGTAATAGTTAGTCCATACGACTTTTAGACCAATTAAGTGTTAGGCCATTTGAAATTTGGAGAAAATGAGGTTATGTTTGATCTATGTTTGAATCTTGGAGACCTAGGACCTTGAATTTCAAAGTTATGTTCGTTTTAATACTAATATAGGTAGATATATGGGTCAAGCGTAATTAACCTAAGATCTATATTGTTCTTACCATGTCAAAAACACACGTCTTAAGTTGGTTACTCTTGACATGAAATGACCTATATGGAGACAGCGGCGAAATCTTTTTATAATATAGAGAGATATATAACATTTGATTTTTCATAACATAATTACAAATAGAACGTGAAATATATATTTATTTGTATATTTTATAAAATTACAATTATAGACAGGAAATTTAAAGCTTTTCAAACAATAACATAATATTTTAAAACTATTTACATTCTTTTTATCAGATCAAAGTTATATCAGTGTTTAGAGTCGATTGGATATTCTTTCATTTTTGACGACTTCAACGCGTTAAGAAAAACTACCATCTAGAGAAAAGTAAAAAATGTGTGTTTCTGTATCATTCCTTGTATTTGTGAACTGACAGTAATAGTCTTAATCATCTGCCTATGTTAGTTTTTCCCTGCTCTAACAAATTAATAATAAGTTGCACATGGTCCCTACCAAACAGAGGCAGAGAATTAAAGATCTTGTTGCATTATTAAAGCTATAGAAAAATTATATTATTACATATTATTATGTAATATGTCTCTAATATTACATATTATTAGAAAAAGGCTATATCATAAAGGCAACGATTGAATTATATATATATACACATTCTTAATTTTAATTCTGTACAAAATTCTGGATAATTTAAATTTTATAAACATAATAAATTGTTTCCGATTATAAAACAATCACAGAATATCTTTGACATTATATTTAAATATCATTATTCAGATTTCTTTTTTTTTGGACAGTTAATAAAAATATTCCATGAAAAGTAATAAACTTATAAATGTGTGCTTCTTTGTATAATTTGAAGTGTATATGTACATGACAGTGATATTTTTCTTTCAAATCTAAGGTTTGTCATATATAGAATTTATTTACATTAACTGTCTCTATTTGGATGTTTTGTGAGAAATCTTCGACGCCATGGAAGAGGCCAATCGTATTGTCGAGGTACAGGTCCACCAATATTTTTTTCAAAATATTTAAAGAGAGGAAACCACCAAAGTCGAGATAAACTATTATTTGGTCCATGTTGCTGTAATAAAAAAAAAAGATGCCTCATTTGTTTCTTTTTTTATTGAATGTATTTTATATTCATGTAAGCCACCGTTAAAGAGACAGATCAAAATTCCATTTAATTTCAAAGTGAGAATTTTTAAGTGTTTAAAAACATTTCTTACCTTTAAATTAATGTTGTTTGCAAGCGTATGATAAATGTACCATAAACGTGTTGTTACATAATATGCAATGAGAACATCTACAGTGTAGTGACCATGAGCAACTAATACCATAATAACGCCTACAAGCGCCATCAATCCGGTAAGCCAATGTATTAACAGGCATCTTTTTGGTGAATCTAAAATAAATTTTATTTTGCGTTCATTTAAAATGATATTTATAATAACCAAAAAAATTTTATTCTGTATAAAGAAAGAAATTAATAAAAATTTCTTTTCAAAATATACACGGAAGTCTCTCTCAAATGAAATGCTCAAGCATGGTATCTACTGAAGTGAATACGTCCTTAACGAAGAAAACTGTAAATCATCAAGAATGTACGAAGAATAAAAGCGATGAGACTAAAGAAATAATACAGAAAGCGGAACAACTGAACACTTACTATAAAGGCTACTGTTTCTACTCCACTAATCTTTATCTTAATTTTCCCCTGACATATTCTTTTTACGTCTTACCGTCAACACAGTCCATTCGACCGACTTTCAAACGAGAGGGATTCCAGTGTATCCATAATATAAAACGATTAATGGTTAAAAAAAAGTTCAATTGTTTACGCTTCTGAATAATATTCCCGATTAAATCCGAAAAAATTACTTCCTATTAGTTAGAAAATTTTAAAAAAACAATCTGCAATCATTCCGGACGAAAAACATATTTAAGATAAAGAATTTACATGAATCTTCGTCAAAAACTGAATAATTTTCAAAATAAATCTAAAATTGCCTTAAAGATGATAAAATATGCTTTCAAAAGCTAATATATCAACTACTTTAAAATATGCCGAGTAAAAAGTTTTAAAATTGATAAAAAAAATAATTCTAAAAATTATCAACTTACACTCCTTGAAAATAAGGTAACTCAAAACATGAATAACTGTGTGGCCACTGTAAATATAATCTCCACAATAAGTATGCTTTCCGTTTATAGATAAACCTAAGCCAGATAATAATTGAAAAACTCTTTTCGTCACAATTATTGGAGTTGTACTATTTGCTTTAGGACTGCAATAGTATGTTTTACTTGCTACTGGTAAAACTGTAACATACATAGTTATACTTCTCATCATATATAAAAGTCCCAAGAGAAGAAAAATTCTTCGTAGAACAATAAATCTGAAAAGATGATTAAACATTTTTTTTTTATCAAACATTTAACAATATTCATAAAAGTATTGAAGAATTTATATCTTTAACTTTTAACCTCCCAAATTAAAAAAATTAAGTTATTGCAAAATATCTTTTTAATGAAGATGAAATTTTGCAGTTTATTTATTGTAGTTCTACTAATGATTTATAAGACTATAAAAATTTTGAAAATAAATTTATCTACGTATTTAAAATAAATACTTACTCTACTTTTGCAAAAAAAATCTAAGAAGCAGTATAAAAAAGTAACTATGAAGTTTATAAAAGCTAAAGGGACTAATAATTAATAAATTTGTTTATATAATTACCTGTGTTTATGGAAAATAATTAAAATAACTGCTGAGTTTGAAACTATCATAATTAAAACTTCAGAAACATTAAGTGCCCAGTCCTGTGCGGCTACATTATCCAAAAATACATCAGGAAGAGGATCGTAAGAGTTTCTATCTGGTACTTTGTCATGGACCATAGCCAAAGATGCAGTTGTAAGAATAAAATTTACAGCCATAAATAAAAATGCTGAAATACGTCATTCAAAATTATTACTGCAATACAAAAAAAAAAAAATAAAAACACTGATCGCAACTCTGTATAATAAATATTACATTGACGCTTTTCAATGATAACGGCCACTAGCATAAGCCGAGAGTTTTTCTTTTTGGAAATCAAATCAACTTTTGTGCTTTTTCTTCGAGAATTACTAAACCCATAGAGTCAAAAAATTACATTTTATTACAAAAAACATATTTAATAATTAATTATTGATTTGTGAATTGATATCAAAAATACCAAAGTATTAAATTTCAAACAATACACTTTTAGAGGCGATCAGTGTTTTTCTCAACATTTATTTCATAATTATACTTTGATGCATTTGAAAAATTTAGTTTACCAATTTAAAAATTCTTTTTTCACTCGAAAAAAAATTTGGTCAAGACAGAAATAAAAAATTCAACGCAATCTGTTACTAAACATTGAACATTTCATTAACCTTAAAATAAAATTAAACTTACCAATAAAAGTTTTCCATTTTTCTTTTGGATATCTAGGTTCTTCCCTTAATGGCGCCGGTATATCCAATTTAACAATACCACAATTTGATATATCTGGTACACCAGAATTAATTCCTTCGTGACTCAATTCATCAATTTTATCATTATTGTAATAATTTGAAGTTGAACTTAATGCTCCCCATTTGTCTTTACTTTTTGATGATGTACCAGGAAGCAAAGGCTGTCTTTGATAAACATCACTCGACTGAGCCATTTCACTACGTCTTCCATCAACAACAGCGTTGTCGTTGTCTACAATTATTTTTACTTCTCCAAACGGTTTGTCAAAACTTCCGTAATCACTATGTAAAGTTGAAGTCTTTGAATCAAATATCATCCTACAAAATAAAATTTCATTTAAAAAAATTCAAGTAGAAGTTTATAGCTTAAAGTATGAATTTTGGAAAAAATAATTATTAAAATTTTCATTATTATGAAATTTTTTAATTATTTGGATATTATTCAATAATAAAATTATTATTATTATTATTCTAAAATTAAATAATATGAATATATCAATATAACCTTTTTGATGGGAAATTTTGAGATAATTGCATAGAACCCTCACCGATTTCCATAACTTCATGAAACTATTACCAATACTAATTTTAGAATTAATGTTTATATTAAATAGTTTTAAATGTGATTTAAAAATCGAGTATATATTTCTCGGAAAATTTGATATTAATGTGCTTGATAATGGTCAATAACTTAAAACAATGAACTCGTGTGTTAAAATTTATATTATAAAAAATATGTCAATTTAAATACTTATTAAACGACGCATGGATATTTCCTATACACTGAATTCATTGTAATTTTTACGATTTCAAAATTCTTAATAAATTGTTTCTAAACTTTCTATACTTGGGTATTAAATGTTATTTAGTTCCCTTTTAGTATAATTTTATAAAAATTACAGGGTAAAACTGCAGGCCTCGGATCGACTTAAAGGCACAAAGAAAGTCGTTTTAGTCGATTTATATTCCAAAAAAAGTTCGAAAAAGTCGATTTTTTTTTATTTTAACAAAAATATTTTACAGATTTTTAAATAAAATTTTTTTTAAAAATAATTTATTTATTTATTTCAAAAATAGACGGGCTTACAAAAGAAAAGAAAATGCCCTTTCGTACTAAGTACTAAGAATATAAAGAAATTGTTAAGAAATTAACAAAATTCAAATTAAAGTAAAACTAAAACTAAGCGCTAGGTGGTATTATTGTTGTTAAAATCAAATAATAAGTTTCGCAGTGCTGTAGTGAATGCGTTTAAAGAAGCATTAAAAAAGTCTATCGTAGGGCAGAATACATTTGCTTCATCACAAATTCTGTCATAAATTATGTTACTTCCATAGTTAGTATTGTGTCGTTCAATTTTAAATAACTGCCGTTTTCTGAGACCTATCTCGGAAACATAGAAATTAATGTTTGACAAAATTTCTGGACAATCTATATGATTGTTTAGGATTCTATATAAAAAAATTAAGTCAGCCTTTAAGAACATCGATGAGACTGAAGGTATTTTAAATAAATTCATGAGATCAGAGTAATCATGGTTTTGATAGTTTCGTACAATACCGCACTGTCTTGCCAAAAAACGCAGAAAAATATTTTGTACACGCTCAAAACGCAACATATCATTTTCTGTATAGGGTTTCCAATAATAATACTTTTGGAAGGGTTTAAAGTTAAAATTTTTAGAAATAATTGAATTTTAAAAGATTTTGTTAGTTTTCAAACAATTATTAAATTTTACAAAACTAAAAGGGTTAGTCCACTGACTTTCGTCTAATAGTGGTTGCGACCAAATTTTAAAAAAATCTAGTTTTAATATATGTGAAACTCGATGATTCCCTGAGTTCATTAACCATAATATTATGGTAAAAATTTTATTCCCTTTAAAAATATTAAATATCAAAAGTAGGAGGTTTACAATGTGATTTTGTAACCTTAAATTTTTCAATTTTTTTAAAAACGCTATTATTAAAAAACTATTAAAAATTAGATGTTGGAACTCACCAAAAACATAAATCACTTTATTTTGCACAGAGGAACGAAAGAATTATTGCAAAAATTTATTATTTTTGGATGATATACGATTTTAAAACAAATTTTATTTAAATATTCTCAAGATTTTTATTTACTTATAACTTTTTTGTCGGTGCTCCGAAAAAATTGAGGTTTTGCACAAAGGTTTTTTATAATATTCTTTACCTTCCTTTAAAATTTCACGAAGGTGTTTTGCTTCGTTTTGGAGATATTAATTTTCAAAATTTTTTATTTAAAAAGGTTAATTAAAAGACTTGAAGTTAACTGACCAATTTCAAATCGCTACATTTTAATATATTTTTATAAAAAATGGAGCAAATTTTATTTGATTTGAGATTGAAAATTTGGAAAATAATTGAATTTAAGTTGATTTTTGATTAAAAATTTTGATAATAATTAATTTTTAATGAAATTTTGGATAATTATTGAATTTTAATTGATTTTGAATTGAAATTTTGGGTAATAATTGAATTTTATTTGATATTAAATTAAAAATTTAGAAAATAATTGAATTTTAAAAGATTTTGAATTGAAAATTTTGAAAATAATTGAATTTTATTTGATTTTGAATTGATTTATGATTTTGAATTAAAATTTTTTAATAATTTTATTTGATATTTTTTTAAAATTATAATCAATTGTTAAATTTCATAAAAATTTTAATTGAAAAATAATTTTAAATAATTGAATTTGTGATGAATTTTATTAAAATTATTAAAAATAATTAATTTAGTGAAGAATTTTAGTTAAAAATTTATTAAATAATTTAAATAAAGAAGATCTGAAGAAGATCTGCATTTTATACTAAAAAAATATTTTTTATTTAAAAATTTGTTTAAAAAATGTAAAAAAAAGTCGAAATAGTCGCATTTTATTAAAATAAGTCGAAAAAAGACGTATTTTTGGAAAAAGTCGGAAAAAGTCGTATAATCCGAGGCCTGAAACTGAGATATAGCTATAAAACTGTTTTTGGGGTTAAAAAATCGAAACAACTATTATTGTAACCAATTGCTTTCAAATTTAATTCAGGGGTATTTTTAGGATCTCTGATTAAGATTTTCACGTAAAAATAATAAAAATGCAAATTTAAAGTATCTGGTTCAAAAATTTGAGAATAAAAATATCGAATAAAAAAATAATTGTAATAATTGAATTTATGCGTCCCTAATTATTTTGTTTGTACAAATCTGCAATTATAAATTACAGATTTGTAACCACACAGCAGCAAAAATTCGACAAATGGGCATTATTCTATAGAACTTTTAAACTTTGAGGTTGAAGAAAATTGATTTTTTTTTTTGAGGCACATTCATGAAATTAATTTTATTGGCTTTAGAATTGATCAAATGACACAAAAAACTTTGCGTGATTCATTTTTACACAATGTTATTTTTATTTTTAACATAACGTGTTACGTTACTCGTAAAATTAGTTTTTTTGCTTATGGCCTCGTTTTTAGAAGGTAGTATATAAAATTATAAGTCTAGTTCTTGAAATTTGAAATAATGGATTAAATATGGCGGACTTTTTTTAAAAAATTTCTTTTGGTTTTTAGAAAATTTGATGTGTTAGGGTTTTTAAGGCCACTGATTACAAATGCAAACTTACTTTTCATTAAAATTTGAAATCCAAATATATGATTTAATATTAAGGACACCAAAAAATTAAAACGATTTATAAGGAATAATCATTTTATTATTGTGAAAAAGTGTGTTTTTTGTTTTATTAAAAAGTTACAAGAATTATAAATGAAAAATAAAAAATAAAATAAATCAAAAATGTAACATTTTATCTCAGAGTAGAATTTCTTGTCAAAGAGCGAGTTCTTATTTGACTATTTTCATTATTAGTCTTTTAACTAACATCTTTTTTTTGTTTCTTTAATTGTGGTACATTAACTTGAAATTTGTAATTAAAACCCAAAAAACGTACACAATGTCAATTTCAAGAAAATCCGTCAATGTATTAATTGTTTCTCGTCAGTAAGAATATGTATGGTAATAAAAGTTTATAGTTTTTATAACTTATATACTTTCTATAGATAGTGTGAAAGTTAACGATTTTTTTATATACTTTTATAAGATAGGAGAAAAGATCACAATGATTCAAAAGTACTTAGAAGCTAAATTGTAGATGTGCCATTAAAAAATTCGATTTTTTAAAATGAGTTTCGCTTGGAAATTTAAAGTTTGACGTGGTCCCATTTTTTTTATGTATAGGTGGCACACATTCAGGCAAGGGTTCAAATTACTTCTTATCATATAGGTAATGTACCCCTGTTGTGTGGTTTCTTAAAAACCAATGTTAAAAAAATTATCTAAGGTTGATTGCTGAATTGTCAACTATAAAAAAAAGTTATCTCGCAAGTTTGAAGGTATATAATTTTATTCCTCGGTGAGGCACATCATTAATTTAAGGATTTTTCATTTGTTTACATCTCCAAATACGTCCACAAAAACTACAGACCATAAAAAAAATGTTAAAAAAAGTTTCAGCGTTAAAACTGAAAAAATGTAGTGAGTACGCGCACCAAAAACAGACAAATTTACTACTTTTATTTACTCTCATTGTTTTTTACATATTCATAATAAGTAATAAACACTTGTTACATGTAAAACGAACAAAAATTTGTTGAACTGTGATGTTGAAAAGTTATATTTAAATTTTTTTAAGGTATCATAATGAGCGACAACATAAAGTTTAAAAATTCTAGAACAATCATTAAAATGTTTAAATTTAATAAAAAAAATTTAATTTGGTAAAATTAAGTTTAAATCATAATTTAAGTTTAATGGAGATATAAGTTTTCATTGACATTGGTTAAATAACAATCAAACATTTAAATAATTTTTAAGCTATGTAAATAAATTCTGGGCAATTTACAGACGAACCTGATGAAAATACTAAGTAAATACATTAAACTGAAGTTTACAACGTCAAACCTGACGATATCTGAATTGTTGACTTAGAAAATCGTCAACTTTGACGTTGAAAACTTCAGCTTAATGTTAATCAAGTTTTTTAAAAATTCAATTACATAAAACTTATTCAATTATTAATTCTTTAAAATTAAATTTTTTTAATCTAATTTTTAAAAAAATTCAATAATTCAAGTTTATTAAAATTTTAATTGAAAATTTCAACAATAAAAAATCGAAAATTCAATTATTTATAAAAAATATATTTAAAATTCTTCGCTAAATTATTTTTTTTTCAAATACTTTAATAGATTTTTTCAATAATTCAGTGAAATAAAATTATTTTAATTAAAAATACTCTAAAAATCTAT